CGCTTTCCAAAAAGGTGTTTGGCATCTGATATTGACTGGCATCTTCAGGCTCAAATCTGGCAGGTTGGCGAGTCCCTGGGCCTGAGGCTCCTCAGAGCATGGCCGCAGTGTCCCCCCAGGTGGCCAACCCATTTCCTTCCGCTCTACCACCGGGCACCCCCACCTTTTGACGATGCCACCACTCAGTGTGGCTGGGTCCCTGGACTGAGCCCACACCCCAGCCCAGACTTCAAAGACACCTTGATGCAGGACATCAGCATGGTGTCTGTGTAACCTCACAGTGCCTGGTCCCGGGCTGAAAGAAACCGCTCAGGGCCCAGAGCCACGCGGAAGGGAGAACGCAGAGAGAGAAATAAAGAGAAACAGGGAGAGGAGAGGGACTGTGTGAGTGGTGTGAGTGCGAGTGTGTGTGTGTGTGTGTGTGTGTGTGTGAGAGAGAGAGAGAGAGAGAGAGAGAGAGAGAGAAGAAATGGAGAGAAGAGAAATTGAAAGAGAATAAAAAATGAGAAAGGTTCACACACAATGAGCGAGCTTCCTCTTCTAGATGGGAAAGAGAGAATCAGATGATAGATAGATAGACAGACAGATAGACAGACAGAGCAGACGTGGGTACACACACAGAGGGAGGGGATAACTCCTCCAAAAACACCCCCCTCCCAGCTCTGTTCCCCCACAATCGAAGTTCTCTCCGGCGGTGTCTCTGCCTGTCTTTCTCTCTCTCCTTTCCCTGACCCCGGTACAATGTGGAGACTATTTTCACGGGCCGCACTGGACCGCAGGGTTTTTAGCAGCTAGCGGGGCTCGCAGCTCTGTTTGTCCAGGTGTGGGCGGGGAGCAGCGGTCCCGCGTCTGGGGCTGGCGCTGAGTTTTCGCACCACGGAAGCTGGAGGCTCTGCTCCCGCGCTTCCCGCTTCCAGGAGAAAACTCCCTTCCTCCCTCCATACATACATAAATATATTAGGGAACAGACAAATCTTCATTGTTCGGAAATAAGCCGAGGAGGCCGGCCGGCTCCCCTCGGCCCGGCCTAGCGCGGCTGGAAGACAGGGAGGGAGGCGGGGACCGTGCGGATCCGGTGTCACGTTGCAGATTCCCACTAAAGATAAGGAAACGTGATCTATTTTTCAGAACAGCAAGTGGATGGGAAAGAACCTTGACAACACAAAACTCATTTACTAATGGACTGGTTTTGGGTTTCTCCTCTCCGCGTGCGCAAATCGCCCTGCCCGAGCTCTCGGCCTATTCAGACCTCGCCGGGAGCAGCGCGCCCCAGGAGGCAGGTGGGCGGCTGTGCCGGCGCCGGGCCCGTTGTCAGAGCCCGAAGTCCCAAGGGTAGACGGTACCCGGAGTTTCCGAACAAGCAGAGGAAAAAGATGAATGTTGTCACTTCAACCAGGATTTGATGAGTCTTCTTCGACGACGCTAATTTGTTCAAGAAAACACCTCCCCACGTCCTTCCCTTCCAAATGTCTGTAGTTAGAGTAGGATCCCCGCTGTTCTCGATGGCGAAGGATTCCAAGAAAGCGTCTCGCTCCAAGCCAGAGGGGAAACAAGTGGGTCCCAGCCAGAGGTTTCTGAACCAAGGCCTCGTGTCACCACAGCCAGAGACTCCAGCAGCAAATAGTGCCTCCGCTTTGGCCTTTCCCTAGAGCAGTTGTGCGCACCGACCGACGGTTACCTGCAGCGTGAAGGCATATAAGAGCTGATACCTGGAGTCAGGCACCCCTCTCCAGTGCCTTCCCCTTGGGAGCCACGATGCGACTAGGGCAGCAGCTAGAATTGCTCGTTCCCTTTAAATCTCCGACGCATCTCTGTTTTTCCTGTGATTTGCATTGACAGCAACGGTTTTAAGTTACTAGAACAACTCAAACCTTTCTGTGTGCGATTTAAAATGGATCATTTGGTTTATGTGGTTTGTAAATTCATGTCATTTTACCTCTTTTAGTGGTTTTCAGTGAAAGGTTCCATTTTGGGAAACCTTATATATCCGAGCCAATAATTAACATTTATAACAATTGGTTCCCCTAACCAAGGGATCGAAATAGCAGGTAGGTTCCTTAGTACAAAGCGAATAGCACTTTTCCTTTCTTTCTAGTTATGCGATCTATTGGATTAAACGCAAGGAGAAAGGCTGGCCCGCCGGCTGGCCTCTGAGATTGAGCACCACTTCTCATCAAGCCTGGTGCCCGCTGCAGTCAGGGCATCCACACTGTCATCCTCCCAGTTGTCGCCAAAGTCTAGTGCGTCCTGACTCCTTTTGAAGAGAGATGAAAAGAAGTGGGCAGGGAGGTCTGGAGGAAGCTGGGGAGGGAGGGGAGTAGTCATATTGATGTCTAATTGCCATCTCTCTGCCCCCTGTCATCCCCTGTAAATTTATACCTGCCCTTATTTGTCCAAGCTATGCCTCATTTCCTTATACAAAATTGTTAATTATAAAGTACACCCCATACTCACCCTTTGTCTTTTAAGAGACCCCCACACTCCTTCCCTCCCTCCCCGCCCCACACACATTGTAATTCTGCACACTTGCTCCAGACTTTGGGGTATTTAACTGAGTTTAAACCTCCGTTCCGGTCCTCTCACAGCTGCCATGTCAATAAGAACTGTTCCAAGCAGAGACATTCCTTCTGGCAGGACACTGCAGCTTCTTACGACTTCATCTGAAACATCAGGAGTACTAAAATAAGACTGTGAGGGAAAATTACCAGACACATGGGCTTGGGTTAGCCATGCCAGGCTTCCAGTTTAGAAAGTAAGTCATTGGGTACACCATACGGTAGGGGCTCTTTTGAAATAATATGCACCCACTAAATGCACTTAAAAATAATTCTAAAGGTAACGAAATATCAGCATCTGTTTCCAAGGTCTAATTGCATGGGATACTGCAGAGTTTCAAGGATGCAAAAAGCATTGTGTGGGGAGTTCAGCGGAGAAGTAGCTTCTCTCTTTTTGGAATCTCTGGAGAGGCAGCCAAGGAGGTGGAAACCCGTCATGAGCTTAAAATGTACATTACAGGGTACCCTGGACTGGGTGCATTATTTTATAATCATAAATAATACAAGTGGAAACCCACACAGCGCTTCTCTGTCTCCCACTTATGTGCCAATATGCAAAGGGTTCTGTAGAGCAGGGCTTTGCCTAGTAGAAGCAAAACATTTAAAGAAGGCTAGCAAGTTTAAAGAGCCTCGAGCCAGTTCTTTGCATTCACTAAGAGGGTGCATTTAAATCAAAAGCATTTTTGAAGTGTACTTACAATTCTGTTTTGAACTTATCTAATCAGAGATAAGTATAGTCATAAAGTCACTCTCTTTCCACCATTTGGCTCCCCTTATCTCCGAAGCATTGTTCTTATCTTCTGCCAGTCTCAGCTACTGACAATAGATTATCTTTGTTTAGAGACGCTAATTGTTTTCAAAATCTTTTTAGTAATTGCTTTGGAACAAGGTGTGCAAATGAGGCTTAAGATAATTACAGCTTCATCTGTTTGTGCAGTTTTACTAAGCATTCTCCACACATACACAAAATAACAGATGATGGGACTGAAATTGCAGGACATCTCTCATTCCCTGGCAGTAAAATGGGCCAGCATTGCAATCTATACACACACACACACACACACACACACACACACACACACACACACCTCTTTATTCAATCTTCTAGGAGCTGCTATCCTCCTTGCTTTGAGGGAAGTGTCTCTCAGTGCAGGGTAAGGATTATGTTACAATCGGACGGCTATTGGAGCCGGACCAGTTTTATTTAATTTACACCCCATCCAGCGGCTTTCATAAGAGGTTCTCCAAGCATTTTTGCTAACAGCAAGTAAAGCTTCTGGGCATTCCGCAGTAACAGAGGTGGCCTTGGGAAATGCAGCCGCGCGGATGGGGAAACGGAGTCCAGAAGCTTGAAGGCTTAAACCATAGAACATTAATCAAATCACAAATGAACCCTCTGAATCTTTCTCTGCTCTGCAACTATGTTCTGAACAGCTCTTCGCGTAGCCCCAAATAGTCTCGGGCTTCTGACGACGAGGGAGGGAAGCGCTATCCTGCAGGGAGTACACTTGCGCTTTGGAGGGTGGTGGGGGCGAGGGGCGGAGAAGGGAGGAGGAAATTAGGTTTGGCTTCTGGAGCTGAAGCCAGCCCGGAGAGAAGCCACTCTTCAGCGGCTGCAGCCCAGAGCTCTAGGCTGCTCTTGTATTATTTACCTCGTTCCATAAGCTATTCATCAATCCATTATTTATTCATTCCAACATTAAGGTAATTAAATATGAGCTCACCGGGAAAGGGCACGTCTGCAAGGGACAGGGGTATGGAGGGAGAGGAGGAGAATTAGAAGGTCTGGAGTCATTGATTTGCGCAGAGATGTGCGCGGCTGCCCTTAGGTGACACTGCAGAGGGGGCTCACGTTGCAGGGTCCTGACGCGATCACCCACCCCACCTCCTTCCCGCTCCCCGGCAGCACGGCTCCCTCCTCCCCCCGCCCTCCACCTCGCTTCCCACCTCTCCGGGTCTTTCTGCTCTCCCCACTCCCAAGCCCCCACTCC